CCCCAAAACCCCAAAACCCCAAAACCCCAAAACCCCATACTCACAATTATTGACGATTCGTTAAGAATGAATGAAACTTAATTTGAATCAATAAATTAATCATTTTGAGCTTTCATCTGACATCATGCTTGTTTGTCTTCTGATGAAGCCTTGAAGAAGTCCAGCGCCAATCATTGAGACCCTTGCCTTTTGAAGTGCTTTTTGCTCTCTCTGATATCTCTTTCTTGCAAAGAAAATATTTACCCAGCCAAGATCACTGTCTAAGAGGATTCTTAGAACAACAACAAGTGCTAGCATTAAATGCTCAAGGCCAAAGATAGTCAAAATATTGTAGACTGAGTCATTTTTATATGCTCCCATAAATGGTAAGAGATGCTCAATTTGATCTGAGGCATAAGTGAAAAGAATAATATTGGTAAAGATGCTAATAAATGCCATGAATTCGAGGACATATTTCCATGATCCAATATCAAATACCTTCTTTACATGTGGCCTCTTCATTAATTTTTCAAGTTTGAATAGATCTGATCTGGATTCAAAGTAGATGAAAATGATTGATATAAATGAAGCAAGTGGGAAAGCAGCTATTAAATGTTAAATCATTTATCTTACATGCAAATAGAGTAATATAGCCAAAAGTGATGATCATTTCAAAGAAATCGTCGAAGGTTTCATAATCGGCTTTTTCGATTTCTTCATTTTCTTTCTCATCAACATAATTTTAAGTCTTTTTGTGATTCTTATCTTGGCCAGCATTTGCTTTCTTTGCTCTTTTAGCTCTCCACATAGTAACATATGGAATTATAGCCTCTGTCAAGAGTCTTCTTACTTCATCAATAGTGAATAAGAAGGTTAAATAACTTCTTAACTAGTCAATTCTGAGAAGATATAGTCCAACATAGAGCAAATAGAGGAAGTAATCACAAAACATGAAGAAAAATCTCTTTATGATAAGAGAGTTATCAAAGTCAGTTTGAGTTCTATGATTCTCATTCTCAGTAGTCCAGTAAGCCATCTTTTTAAAAGCGCCATTCATTTGGATTGATATAAAAATCTAAGTTGGAGTGACGAATTTGAAGAATGGACCAGTTGGATCAAGGAAATTTCCTGGTTAACAGAGATCAGAAAGAAAATTCATTTAGAAAAGAGCATTATGTTTCTTGGGATCGATAATTGCACCAAGATTCAAGAAACAGATATTGCAGAATATTATTCCAATGAAATATGGAGCACAGTAAGCAGCAGATTGAAGATATCTAATCATTCTCTCTTGAGAGGTAAATGTTGGCTCAAGTCTATCAGTGATTGGATTCTTTCTGTCAATACCCTTGAATTCCTTTCTAACATCATCACCTTCTTCAGAATTGACATTATAAGCATCCCATTCAATAAAAAGTCTTTTTGATTGTCTTTTCCAGTACTATACTCAGGATATTAGAATTAACTTTGCTTACAATAACAAAAAGTGTTGACCAAATAGCGACTATGATAGAATATACACTATTTAGTGGTGAGTCATGTAATGTGTAGTATCTAGAGTTAATGATACCAAATAAAAAGGCGAGTCCTCCAGGAACAGATAGCCATTCTAAAAAATTGTTAAATCTACCACTCTTACTTATAAAATGGTTCATCCATTGGAAATAGATGGCAACATTCTCGCCATAATATTCTCTAACGAGGTCAGTTGGTATAAACCAGTCCTTCAAGGCCTCTTTAATTAGTTTTTTATCTTGAATGGCTCTGCTCTTTGAGTGGAGGGGGGTTAGCTCAACTAAGAGATTATATCTTTTAAGGAAAAAGATAAATGTTTCATTTTGATCTCTAGGGTATTTCTTTTCATCAAAAGCTCTGCTTATGTTTTTCAACTCATTCATCTTAACTATGCAATTATAAATCAATGTTTCGTTCTTACAATTGTTGATGAGACTGAAGAAGATTCTAGATTTATCAGCTTCATTTAAGATTGTATTAAAAGTACCACCTTCATATTAGACTTACTTTGCTTTCTGTAAATATTTATCAATTAGTCAATTAACATGAAAGAAATCAATAAAATTAAGAGTAATAATTTGGAGTAGATTTACTAACCTTGAAAGGCTTCTTCTTCTCAGCTTTAATAATTCTAGCATGAACATAGGTTGCTTCCTCAGCCCTTTCCTTATTTCTGATTTCTTGTAACTCTGGAGTCTTTCTCTTTTTTTCTTTAAGTAAGGCTAATCTCTCAGCTTCTTATAACATAATATCTTCATTGTTGCAACCCATAAAAATCACAGTATTTCCCTATTGGTTTTATAAAAACAATATAATTTACAGCTTCCTCTTTCTTAATTCTATGATAGATAAGAATACCTTTAAGGTCTTCACTTAGTGCTTTGATTTGAGTCTCATTAACTTCCTTTGAGAGTATCATAGCTGCATCATGTCTTACGAGCCCATCAGGTCCTTTCCCTGAAAGCATTTTATCTCTTTCTTCCTACTCCTTCTACAACTTCTATTGTTTAAGTTGGGCGAGTTGTTTAAATGGATTTTCCTTTTCTTCTTTCTATGGCTTATCTTAAACGTATGCATCTAAAGTTTCTGATAACATATTTATTCTCTGTTCTCTTATAAAAAGATTTTATTATTTCAAGAATATCTTTTAGCAAATGTAATTTATTGAACCCCTGGGGTTTTGGGGTTTTGGGGTTTTGGGGAGATCGGAAGAGCACACGTCT